GGCATGCTGACCCACCCCTTCCATCAGTCACATATCTCCTTCCTCCGAAAGCCCGAGGGACACATCCAAGATTCTAACATCCCTGTCACATCTTCATTTCCCGGGCAGCTGCACTGACAAAATGAATCTCTTCTCTGCTGTTCATTTTATCCTTTTCTTTCTTCTCACCCCTAAAACATTTTTAACATTAAAGTACATGGCCAGTAGTAAAGTGCTAGACAAATACCAATTGCCATTATTATTACTATAAATTGGGAAGGGGTTATAAGAGACAGTTTTTGACTCAGCTAGAAAAAAGAAATTTAAGATGGAAACTGGTATAAGAGTCCCTGTTGAAATTATTGAGATAGTCAGCGCTTGCAGGACCCAAGGTAAAGGAAGCCAAAAGATCATGAAAGCCAGGTACCTGTTTAACAGATGATGGAAAGAAATTCGGAAGGCTGCAATCATCCCATCTAATCACTGGTAGGGCCTTGAGAGCCGCACTTCGTAGGCTGCACCACTACTACCACTGCCAAATTCCCTTCCCCAACCACTGACACCTTCCAGGTCAAAACAAGTCTATCTCTACTAAGACACAATTTAGGCAGCCTGATCACATATGGTAAGTGCATGGGACAGTTCCAGTTTGCACTAATTACTCACAGCATTCTCTTTCACCACCAAAAATATTCCACTTTGGACACCATCCTCCATGGTTACCCAGTGCTTGGGGATCTGACTCTGACTCTGCTCATTCTCCCCCAGGGGTCAAAATTAATTTGTCTCTGGATTCTATTTCCTAAGGAATCTAATGATTCTTGTGCATAAAGCTTGCAAACTGATTGTGTACAGGTCAGATACTACTTCAAAATATATGGAGCAGAGGAGCAGGGAATCGCTTTGCACTGTTTTTTAAAATCTAAGTAACAATTTTATTTCAGTCTACAGCACAATATTTTGCATATATTTTAGTAGTTTTGATAGTGTTACTTTTGAGCAGACTTTCAATGAATCCACAAAAAGTTAACGTATTGAATTCTACTGAATGATTGCATTGTTGACATTTTTAATTTGAGAAATTTCACCTAAAAATTGGGATTGGGAGTAGTCTCTTGAAAAATTAGGTCTGCCATCCTTGAGTCCATAATCTCTCCTGAGAGCAATCGTCTGTGCCCAGGCTTTCTGGCTGAACACATCCCTCACTAGATCACCTATCATTTCTGTATTAACAGCATCTGTACTCTTGCGCCTTTGCAATCCTACATACGTACACTGCATATAAACTATACACACTATGCATTGAATTGTGCCCCCTAAAATGCATATGTCAAAGTCCTGTCAGTGCCTTAGAATACGATCTTATTTAGAAGTCGAGTCATTGCAGTTAACATTAGTTAAGATGAGATCATTAGGGTGGTGCCTCATCCAATATAGACTGACTGGTGTCCTGAAAGAAAGGGGAAACTAGGACACAAGAATGTGCTCATGGGAGTATACCGTGAACATCAATGCAGTGATCAGGATGATTTATCTAGAAGCCAAGGAATACCAAGGGTTGCCAGCAGCCACCACAAGCCGGAGAGAAGCATGGAACAGATGCTCCCACAGCCTCAAAAGGAACGAATCCTGCCAATCCCGTGATCTCAACTCCAGTCTCCAAAACGGAAAATAAATATGTTTATGTTGTTTAGTCACTCCACTTGTGGCACCGTGTTACTGCAGTCTTAGCAAACTAACGCCTTTGTATAACTGCATGTAAATCTATGATTCTCAGTCATCTGTCAAAAGGAGACCAGTGGCAACATTTGCAGATATATTTGATCATGGAAAGCAGGGAAGTGGGGGTCCTACTCTCACACAGTAGGTGAAGTCCAAGGATGCTGGTGAACCTACAACACATAGAATGCACCCTCAGAGAATGATCTGAGCCCCAGCGTCATCGTGCTGTGGTTGAGGAACCCTGACAGAGATAAACACCACAAGGCAGCTTTCTGTGTACCAGCCAGTCAGGCTTTGCATGCATTAACTCATTTAATCCTCTTCTAAATCCTATGATATTACAAGACACATTTTACAGATTAGAAAACTGAGGCTGGCATAAAGAAAGGTTAATTCACCATCAGCTGAACTCTGCAGTTCTAGCCAGTTGATGCAATAAGCCCCATAATGTCCCCTCTTTCCATTCTGTCATTTTGTCTCAGGACACATTCTAAAGCTCTCACTCTTTGGTCCAGAAGTTTCTTTGTCTCACTGATCCGGGGTGTGTTCTTTCTCGCACACAGTACTGAGATTAAATGGAATCAAGATCGTTGACTTCTGTGAATTTCCAGCCTGTTCACATCATGAGACTGGAAACTGGAGAAATGATTCCCTCCCTGGGAGGCTGATGGGTCCCCTATTTATTCAAATCCTTGTTATAAAATGTATGAGGAATGGCATAGTCAATTCTAACTTGAAGTGAGTCCATCTCACCCGGTTCCTCTCAGTAGCCTGGGGCAAGACGTTCCCAACATTAAACAGGGGTCGCATTGATATGTAAATAACTGTGGTGGATACAGCGTTCTCAAAGGCAATCAGCAGTCTGCTTCTTAGTAGGGATGGAACTGGATGGAGGACGTCATGCTAAATGAAATAATCCAGCACAAGCGGATGGACTGATGATCGCAAATGTGGAGTCTAAAAAGGCTGATCTCACAGACGCGGAGTGGAAAAGTGGGTGAGCTAGGGAAAGGGAAGTTGCTGAGCAAAGGGTACAAAGTCATAGGTAAACTGGAGGACTAAGTGTTAGGGAGACACCATACTGCATGCTGGCCATACCTCTAAGAATGTACCGCATATTTCAAAATTGCTAAAAGAATACATTCTTAATGTTCTCATTCCAAAATGTTATTAACTGGTAAAACGATGTGTTAGTAAAGTGATAGCTATACTAATTAACTTGACTGAATGTATAACACATACAGATCAAAACATCGTTGATTCAAACAAATAAAAAATGTGAAAATAATAATAAAGGAAAAGACATGCCTCTCGCTACTTCCATTACCTCTTCTGTAAAACAGGGGAAACAGTCACACCAACAGCACGTCGGGGGATTAAATGAACTGAGACAAGTGAAATGCTTGTGGCAGTGCTTGGTGTGTAGTAAGTGCTTAATAAGCTCCAGCTATTATTTGGTGTAGAGAACTGCTCTCTCTCTAGTGAATTTAGTTAATTTTCTGACTTGTACAATGGGAACAATACATGCATAATAATATTCCCATCTACATCAATAAATTGTGAGACTTAAGTAGAAAAATTGATTCATACTCAATTTGTAAATTGCAAGGATTATACAAATGTGAAATGATGGTGGTCGGGTTCTCTATGAGAGAATCAAGTGATGGCCTGGACCCCTGATGTTCACAGTAGCAGGCAAGTCACTCCCCAGGTGTACCCCTCCATTCCCAGGCTGAGCCCTGACACTCAGCAGATGCATTCATTCTGGTCCTTGCTTGGCCTGTCCATACTTAGCACTTCTACCATGTGTCTTATCCCTGTCTCTTTCTTTCTTCCAGGTGATTTCTCTCAGGTCCTTCTTGACATTGGACCTTGCTCAGAACCCTACCTGGCTTCCCAGAGAGAGCTCAGAACTGTGAGCCTCCGACAGAAGTACTGGGAGTCCCATTCCTTTCTTCTCAGAAGTTCCAGAAAAAATATCCCTATCCTCCCCTGCAGCTTACAAACTCTATACACCATTAGTTTTCTTCCTCTATAAATAAAGTTTTGATTCACGGAATACCTTACTTTACAATCAGACCAGAGAAAACCATTTCAGTCCCTTGCAAACTGCCAATTTTCCCACTATGTTCTAACAAGACCTACCTAGAAGATGGGGTGCCAGCAGTCTCTTAGTCTGGAGGCCTCAAATTCTGTTCTGGAGCTGAGTTTTCCAGATTAGCTTCTGAGAAAACCCTCCTAGGATTTCTAATGTGAGGCCCCTCAACTCTCCAGAGACAGTGTGTAAATGAGCTGATTCGCAGATATACAAAGATTTTAGCAAGAGGATTCAGCATGTTTTAGAACACTACACCCCCAGATTCCCATGGCCACCCCACCTCACCTGGGTTCCAGCTGCACGCTGAGGAACAGATTCTCTGACACAGGGACCGCTTGCAGAGGGAGTAAATGGAAGCTGGCACGGGAAAGTGCTTTCCCGAAAGACAAGATGCTTCCACTCTTGTACTATTTGTGCATTCTGCCTTCTGGCTGACGCTTTGAGAGAAGCCACCTAAAGCATTTGTGATGTCCTGCTCATTGCCCAGTTTCTTCCAAAAAGATTAAGTTAGGACGTTCAGGTCCCATCTTTGAACCAAGTCTGTGCTACTCTGTCACTCTGGCAGCACTGGAAACAGAGACGGACTATCTGCTGGCCTCAGCTTGTGTCAGATCTGTCACCCGGCGCGGAGATCAGTGGCGGAGATGAAATGCCAGTTCTATCCTCCTCTAGACTTGGACTTGTAGGCATTTAGCCACATGTGCCATGAATGTGTCAGGAAAAGAAAGATTTCTTTTAAAAAGTACACTGCAAATGCAGAGGGTAAAAACTGAATTAATCGGGAGGTTAAGAAAATACAAGTGTCTCTGCTCCTGTGTCTTCTTAGCCAGTGTAAACCTGCACTGCAGTCCTTTACAGTAGAGTTGGTAAGGGTTTTTCCATACTGGTTGTTGTTATTTGCTTGTTCCTTATTTATTATATGTTTGTAGTACATCCCATATACATTCATCATGGAGAGCTGGTGCACACACACACCACATCTTGATCCTTTTTACTTCCTCTCCCCTCCCCCACCCTCCCATCTGTCCCTCCCCATGGCCCTTCCCATCTCTTGCCCCTCCTCCCTTCAGTAGGTTAGAAGTAAAGGAGGCCTCATAAACAGAGGCCCAATGGGAGCTTGAGCCCCGGAGACTCATGTGGTCATGCTAGACAGAAGAGAGGATGACTTTCACCCTACTGTGATCCAGGGGCACAGAGAAACTGTTTATTTCCCTTGAAGAAAGAGCTTTGCAAATGTCAGTGTGTCTTACTTTAGAACAGAGCTTGCTTATATTCTCTGTGACTATACCACAAATCACCCCAAACAGAGGCGTCATAAATTGGCCACTCCGTGTGTTAGCTATCATGGTTGCAGGGTTCACAGGGCTCCACCAGGCAGGCCTCCCTTGGGGTCTCAACACAGTTGCACTCAGAGGTCCTCTTGAAGCTTTGTCCATTCACAGTGCCGGTCCCTGAGGAGGTTGGAACACTCGCAGGTAGGTGGAAAAGCTGGCACTCCGTGGACATCTCTCTACCCCTAGGCTGTCTCTCTGCAAAATACCCCCTACACACATGGCAGCTTTAGCACAGGACATTCTTCTTGCCCTGTTGTTCAGTGCCCCCAAATGGAGACAGACACAGAGACAGGCAGAGTGGGAGCTCAGGGGAGCCTACCTTTCAGCAGGCAGCCTTGAGAGTCTCCAAGGGCCACTCCCACTGCCTCCTGTAATTAGAAATGAGTCGTTAAGCTGACCCAAATCCAAGGGCAATTAGACTCTCCTGTTAATGGAAGAAGCATCAAATAATATGCACAGATGTCTTATCTCCTCCAGCGTGGCTATCAGCCCTGCCTACACGCTGGAGTCACCAGAGGACCACTTGGAACTTTGGTCGCCCCGCCCACATCCCAGCTGAGAGAGAATATAGTTATTAGCTGAACTAAGGGTAAGGGTAAAATAGACAAAGGTAACTTATAATACGATAATATGTATCAGCAGGACACAGTAGCACATGCCTCTAATCCCAGCACTCTGGGAGGCTGAGCCTAGGCAGTTTAGTGACTTAGAGAGGCTCCGCCTCAAAAATGAAAGAAAAATTCTTAAAGGGCTGGAGAAGTAGGTTAGTGTGAAGACCCTAGTTTCAATATCCAGTATCACAAATGAAGAAGGAGGAGGAGGAGGAGGAGGAGACTGGGTAGAGGGGAGGAGGAGAAGGAGGGGAGAGGAGGAGGGAGAAGGAAAGGAGAGAACGTGGAAGGAAGAGGAAGAAGAGGAAGAAAAGGAGGAGAACGGGCCTGTGAGGTAAATACCGGGCCATGACACTACCACTCTTAACACAGTCAGATGCTCTCGCTGATGTACTGTCACCATCAAGGCAATAGCTACTAATGTGTTATGCTGGAGACACCAAAAGCTGTGAGCAGCTTTAACATCCTGGCTGTTATTTTTCAAAAATAATTATGTCAGTTTACTAGGGCTGTCATAATGAAATGCCACGGACAGAGTGGCTGAAACAACACGCATTCATTTTCTCACAGTTCAGAGGGTGCGAGTGGCACACCAAGGACTTGGAGGTATGGCTTCTTCTGAGGCCTCTCCTCTTGGCTTGCAGATCTCTGTCTTCTCTCTGTGTCTTCTCATGCTCGTGTCACTATGCATGTACCCGGCTGGTGTCAGTCGTCCATGCCCTAATCCCCTCTTCCTGTAAAGACACCAGTTATGTTAAATCAGGCCCACTCTGATGACCCCACCTTAACTCAGTCATCTCTTTAACAACCCCATCCCTCAGCCCCGCTTTAACCCCCATTCCAGAGTGCTAGAAGTAAGAGTTTCAAACTCTGCTTTTGAAGCACAAGACTGCCCAGAAAAATAACCAACCCTTGATAAGTTTCTAAACCAAAGTAGTATAATAGTCTCTCAAATTTTTTTTTGGTCTTTTTTTGAGACAGGGTCTCACTACACAGTTCAGGCTGGCCTTGAATTCACTTGGTAGCCCAGGCTGGCCTCGAACTCACAAAGATCCTCTTGCCTCAGCCTCCTGAGTGCTGGGATTACAGGCATGCGCCACCACGCCCAGCTCAGTCTTCCAATTTTTAAGGTAATTCAATTTCTAGAAAATTTATCATACATTATAAAAATCATGCTCCACCCCATAACCACATCAGGATTATGTGTGCTTTAGTCCATTTGCGCTACTCCAGCAAGATACTATAAACTGGGTAACTGATACACCATTAAAACTGATTTCTCAAGTTCTGGAGCCTGAGAAGTTGGAGAGAAAGGAGCTAACAGGTTTGGAGTCTGGTGAGGGCTGCTTTAAGATTCCAAGATGGTGCCTTCACACTGTGACCTCTGCAGAAGAGGAATGGTGTGTCCTCGCAGGGCAGGAGACACCTGAGCAGGAAGGGTGCACTCTTCCACCTTGGTCCTATTAAGAGGGTGCTGAATGTACTCAGAGGGACGGAGCCCTCATGACTTAATTACTATGCAGAGGCTACTTGCCTTAATTCCATTGCATGGGGATTAAACGTTAACATGAATCATGAGGGAGACCTCTTCATTCCAAAGATGGTCACATATAGAACAGAGTTCTGTTCTACCCCCATCATTAAAAACAAGTTTTACACCTACATGAATGTCCCACCTGGCATTCAGGAATTGTGCAGGCTGAGAGATCAGTATTTGTGTACCACGGTTGGGTATTGAGACAGTCAGGCACCGCCAACTAATCCTCACCAAATATCAGTAACACTGCTTCAATTATTGTGACATCCAAGTTGTTCCCTAGAGGGCAGAACTGGCCCCTTTGAGAATGTTCGATTAAAGGAGCCCAATGATAAATCATAACCTAGTAATTTCTCTTGTCAGAGAAAAATAGCCACCCCCTGGTTTATATGTTAAGTTTTAATTGTTCTTAGTAGATTTTCTAAGCTTGGGGTAAACTGCTATCCTGTGTGAAAGTTAAGTTTGACCCCAGGGTTATCTAACATAGTGGAAATTACCCAATGGAAGCTTCCAAATAAAAGATGCTTTGTTTTTATGCTGTTCCAAATTCTAGAACACCAATGCTTTGTTTTTATGCTGTTCCAAATTCTGGAACACCAATGATTCTGCCCATTGGTCTACGGCTGATCCCAGTAATAAGAGTGTAGAATTATTTTTCCTCTTGTTACCCATTTGGAAAAAGCCAAGACTAACTTCACCATGGATGAAATATCCTAAAAGTATTTCAGTGGTGAATGTTTACCTTGAATTTGATGTGGTGTGTGTATATATACCATTAACCAAAGATAAACAACAATATAGAGACACTGTTATTTAGCTAGTGGTAACTTGATGCCCAGAGACCCAGGATCAGAAGATAGTGGAGCTACATAACCTATGATTGACCTAAAATGTCCTCCATAAGACCCACATGTTTGTGTTCAGAGGTAGAGCTTTTGGAAGGGGACTGGATCATGAGAGCACTGTACTCCTTGTGGCTAAATCCATTGAGGAGTTCAGAGCCAGTGTGCTATTAGGAGGTAGGGTCTAGATAGAAGCACCAGGTCACTGGGGATGTGACCTGGAAGGGTCTATCTTCCTGCCCAGCTCCTCCCTTCCCACTCTGCTTCTTGACCACCATGATGCAAGCAGTTTTCCTCCTCCATATCCTTCCTTCCTTGGAGCCACTGACCATGGATTAAACCCCCTAAAATTGTGAGCCAAAATAAACCTCCCCTCCCTTAAATTATGGTATCAGTTATTGTGTCACAGAGACAAGAAAGGAAGACACCAGCCCAGTTGTATCTGACACTAGAGGCCACTTCTGCAGCACCACCCAGGTGGGAAGCCAGGAGAAAACTGAAAATAAGGCAAGCACCCACTGTCAGGTATGTGGCTTCTTCCTGAAACCACATCTTTCCTAGCAGGAGGAGCAACTGAGATCCTTCTCTGAGCCCTCCAAACTCTGTCAGCTCATGAGTTTGATGTATCATTGATCAAGCCCCAAATTGTACCTATGTTATTAATGTCTAAGTCAAGGGAGAAGAAGGTCCAACACATACATAGCTCAAATAACTGGGCCATAATTCAAGTGTCAATATTTAAAATGTTGACTGTGTTGTTGCTTTAATGATTAGCTTTTAAGTGGCCTGAAAAGTGACAATGTTATTCCATGTTTGTCCTGTTTATCCAGAGCCTCCAGTTCTGTCAGTTCTTGTGAGAAATCCCAAGGTAAATCTACTCTGAACAGTTGGCAGCAACACTGTCCTACATGGCTGTGTATTGTTCACCACGTTCCCATCTGTTCCTGCTCTCAACATCCAGAAGTTTTTCCACAGAGAGAAGAGTGAAGGCTAAAGTCTTAACACCATCTCTTCTTTTTAATGGATTTTCCTTTCCTATAGCTATTGATTCTTTCACAACATGAGGGAAACAATTTATGATCTTGTCTGCATGTTGAAAAATAACAGATACCCTCTAAATTATTGGGTGGAATATTTTCCATGGTCAATATGAATCACAGTGCAATTGATTACAATGGTCATTTATTGTAATACATGTTTCAGAATGAATGGGGAGATGATAGGACAGATTCAGCCATGCACCATGCATAAACCATGGAAAACACAAAATGACCTGGGAAGGTGAACACGGTGACAGATGTGCCTAGAATCTTGTCTCAATCTCATCTCCTAGGGAACAGAACTGTAGGATTTTATTTTAGCAGAGACATTCAGGACTGTATTTTGGATAAACTATTTACATATAATCATTATTCACATTTTGAGTTGTTAACTCATTCTCAAGGTCTGTGTTCTGGCAAAAAAAAAAAAAAGATGATGTTTATAGTACATTTGTTCTATGTGACAGTGCTGTGTATTCTCTAATAACATCTTGAAATCCCAAGAGTGCCCACTGCATCCCTGTCCCCGTGGCACTGAGAAGGTTGCAACAGTGTAGAATTATGGAACAAGCTTATTGCCAGTGATGAGAAGCCAGGGCTCTCAGAGGTCTTCCGGTTTCCCAGGTAACCCAGTACCATAGGATGACTTTGTACACACTCTGTGGTGTTCAGAACAATAGCTACAGGAAGTCAGAGACGCAATCAAATACGACTGGACATAACTAATTCCTTTCTCCCTCCCACTTCCACCTTTCCCAAACACATAAAGGGCTGCCTCTCAGGGTAAATTACATCACAAATGCATGGTTGACTTATCTAGGTCAATGCCTTGATTGAAAATATCCAAACAACATACAATTACTATCCAGCCATTACAATCATAAAGCATTCAAACTATTACAATAATTTTGTAACGGCCAAATGAAATTTGAATAGTAAAACTAATCTTCCTTTCAGACCATTTCTGATCTGCATCACCCCATTGTCTATTTGGCAACTGACTTAAGAGAAATGTTAAATATCACTTAATAGCTTTCCCTGAGATCACCAAGGGATTTGATAAAAAAGAACATGTAACGGCTAATTGTGGCCCCAGTCCCCATAGATTTCCCTGACTTTTAAAAATCATTCTTCCATTTTGTACACATTTATTCAGCAGTTTTATGTTCCCAGTAGGGCAGTGTATCAGACCTCTAAAAATGAGTAAGATTCCTCCAAGAAACTCAGAACTAAAGCAGGAGAAAAGACAATGTACACTGACCTATGATATAATGCTAATTGTCCAGTACAGCAGCCACTAGCCACATGTTACTACTGAGTACTAACAATGTAGCCAGTCTAAAGGAACTGTGCTATATGTGAAATACATACCAGATTTCAAAGAATTAGCTCAAAAATAGCACTTTGACACATCTCACTAAGTTGTACACTGATTACATGTTTGTGACAGCTAATTTTATGTGTCAGCCAACTGGGCTCTATGATACACAGATATCTGGTGAAATGTTATTTTGAGTGTTTCTGTGAGAGTGTTTCAGAATGAGATTAACATTTCCTTGGATACATTGAGTAAAGCAGATTCCCCTCCATGATGTGAACAGACTTTGTCCATAACCCTAAATAAAACATCAAGACTGACGCTCTTTACGTAAGACAGAAATCTTTCTGCCTAATGGCCTACATCTTTGTCCATTCAGGCTACTATAATGGAATACCATGGACTGAGTAGTTTATAAATAACAGAAATGTATTTCCCACTGTTCTGGAGGATATGTCCAAAATCAAAATACTGGCAGACTTATTATTTAGTGAGGGCCAGCTTCCTAGCTCACTGATGGCTGTCTCCTGTGCTCTCACTGGGTGGAAGGGCTTCTCCAGGGTCTCCCTAGTGTCTCTTTCACAAGGGTGCCAGTCACCTAATCACCTACCAGAGGCCTATCTCTTAATATCATCACATTGGAGACTCGGACTTCAACATATAAAATCTGCCTCAGACAGAAACATTCATCATATAGCAGCCTTTAGACTGGAACATCACTGCTTTCCTGTCTTTGTACTAGAATAGAAACATCAGCTCTTCCTGAGCTTGACAACACTCAGAGTTCGAACTATACCATCAGCTCTGCTAGGTCTTCAGCTTAAGAACTCTCCCTTTAGATCCTGGCACTTGATCTGTGCAACTGTATTTTAATTTCTTAAAATAAATACACATCTATCTATCTATCTATCTACCTACCTATCTATCCATGGTATGATTGACAACACATTGAATGTTTAATTTTTTAACTCCCATAGTAGATGATGCATTGCCATTAATCCTTCTCAAAATATTCCAATTTGCTTTGGACATACTTATCCTCTCTTTCCTGCCACTTTCTGAAGCAGTTCTGCAAGCTCTTTTTTTTTATGAGTACCTTTAGTTGCACTGTCCTGAATCAATTCAAAATATTTACCTTCTGAGGTCATTTTTACTTTGGGGAAGAGCCACAAGGGACCCAGTGCTGGGACTGGTACATCATAAGATGTATGAGGACACACCAGAATGTTTTACAAATCCTCCTATCCTTTGGAGGAGCAATGTTCACCACATTTTTTATCATACATCATGAAGACACAAAAGAAGACTTTTAGAACTGCTTCAGAAAGGGGTGAGGACAAGGGAATAAATGTGTTTGCAGTGAGGTGGGTAGTTTAAGGGGGATTAATGGCAATGTGTCTTTCACTGTAATTTATTTAATTTTAAAATCCCTGTATAGTTTGATCACCATTTATGTATACATATATTGGTTCTGTGAAGAACTACAACTGATTCAATGCTCAAGTTACATTTCCAACATATTGGAATGAGTAATATATATTCTTACAATTATTTTTACTTTTTTACCTTTTCAATGTAGTTACTGGAAGATTTTAACTCATATTTGTGGCTCACGCTATATTCCTATTTGGCTGCACTGATATGTGTGCTCCATTTGCACGGTGTGGACAGGAAGCAACTGTGCACAGAGGTGAGGCAATTGATTCTGCTGGGCAGAGATTCTGACCCTTAATATTGGCATTTTAGAAATGTATCTGGAAGAGGTTGGAGCAAAAGCTCAGAAAGCAAAATTCATGAGCACAATCACAGTGGCCTTTAAGTGGTCGCCATGTTTGCAGAACATGCAGGTCATAGACAGAGAAGGAAAGATACCTGATAGGTGAGGCCAAGGAGACAGTGGAGGCTCACATGGGGAGAGTCATGATTGCCATGGTAAACAGTTCAGCTTGATCCTGTGGACAGAGGCAATCACCAAAGGTTTTAAGTAGGGGTTTGGCATGACCAGGTCGTACTTATTCTTGAAGCAGAAAGAAAGGCAGGCTGAGAAGGAGTGAAAAAGAGATTGGGGAAAGGAGACCATTAGTAATTCATGCCTGGAAATGATAAGAATGTAAATTAGAGCAATGCTAGGGAAGGTAGACAAGGGTGAAATGGTAGACCATGCCCAAAGCACCAGAGAAGGTTGGGAACTTGACTGCAGAGGGTAGTGTTACGGTTTGAGTCTAGATGCCCCCTAAAGTCTTATGCGGTCACAGTGCC